CGTGTCCGGTAGGTCCGGGGCGTGACAGTAAAAATGCTACTGCATATTTTATTCAACAATGCTTGGTACATTATTGACCCTTATACCCATCTTATACTCACTCATGTTTGTGAAGGTTTTTTTGTCTGTGAACCTGGTTCACGAACAAAAAATGTGTTATTTTGTATATGCAAATTTTGTACAAACAAAATATTGTCTGTGAACGGAACTCACAGACAAAAAAACTTTCAAAAACATGGATTGAGTATAAAAGTGGTTATATAATATAAGAGTGGGTACAAACATCATTTTTGATTTTATAAACATCTACAATTGATTAGTGGAAAATGCTACAAAAAACATGACTACAATACTAAAATACATTAACAAAATATGCCACAATAACTGAGCCTTGCTGTAGCACGATGAAATGCTACAAAAAATGCTACAATACATCTATGATCTATTGTAGCACATGTCGATGTAGCATGCTAAAAAATGCACATTTGATGTATTGTGCACTTTTGCAACATAATGTAACGTTTTGTGTATGCTACAAAAGTTATACATTCCCATATGAAGTATTTTTTTCAAGAATATTACTAAATCAAATTAAAGGACAAAAAATATGACTTACTTTAAAATTCTCCAAAAAGGGACATATTCAGTGAGTAGTTTTTGACTCATCATAGTATCATACACCAATCACTCTGAAATACACTATAATACGTGACTCTTGTACAGTTATTCATACATAATGACTAGTCATATTTGTTCGAAAACATAAATAGTTGGACTCTATAAACATGACTAGTTATTCATACATAATGACTAGTCATGCTTTTAATTTGTCCAAAAACATAACTAGTTGTCCAGTTATTCTTACTCTGAAAAATGTATAGAGTTTTTCTGTAAAAAGTTTTAAGTAATACACATGTCAGTTTTTCCAACATGAATTATAAATTTGAAATGAAATAATTATAAAATGTGCACTAAAAAAAATACCACTATATACGATCTCAGTTTGAAGTTTGAACTTTGAACATGCCACAGCTAGTCCTCAAGACCTCAACCGCACACAATCACCGCACCGCCAACAGCAGTTGAACATCATATAAATTGCCCAAATGCTGCAACGTCTTCACATTTTCGTTCGCACCAGAAAGCCGCGCAAAATTTTGAGCAGCAAACACTCGCTCTCTCTCACTAAAATTTTCAAATCTCTGTTCTCTCTCGTCATTCTAAACTCGATAAACTGAAAATGCAAGCGTTCAAGTAATGTTCCGTTTCTGAATTACATTCTATTTCAAATTTCCGTCAGCTTCAATTCTATAGACGGTTGATTATTGACGATTTTTGTTTATTGTCTACTTTTTATTGAGATTAGACCGGAAGAGCAGCTGCAGCTAGTGGAACGAGAAGAGATTGACGATGAAGACGACTTGTTCGAAGCTATTGATAAATGTAACTCATAGCTATTCGAATACCTCCTCTGTTTTCTATCTAGTTCCCGCTTCCTCCGTATTTTTGTGGTGTTTTATGGAGTTGGATCGTTCTGGTTTTTGTTTTTGAACTTTCCATACAAAATTTTGATCCTTTTTCGTGAGTTATGGATTTCCTTCTGTTTTTGTTTGTATTTAATATTGGACTAGATCTAGGATCATCTGTTGAATGCTGACAAGTCAAATACGTGATCGAGCTCGTGTATTCATGTTCTAATTCTGTTTTGTTTACGTTTAGGAGGAATCATGAGTCATGACGAGCAAAATATAAAAACTCAGCTCTCTCTAATAATGCACTTTTGCCACTGAACTATGTGAAGCACATTATGTAACTCGTTCCTAATACGAATGATTTGCTACTACACGTTTACACTATATGCAGTTTGTCTAAAGTTTAGCTTACACAATTGCACAACCTTTGGATAATGTTTTTTAAGCAAACGCTCAAATATTTCTAGTGTTTTTTAATTGGCCCTGAGATTCCCACAATAAACTGTTGAAATGTCCTCATCTCTAATTTTTGCTATCATATCTAATGTCTCCAGAGGTGTGGTTGAACTTATTGAAACTTCAGCTCTATGCTTCTATTATACGGAGTATTTTTTATTGGATGTCTGGTTTCCCACAATAAACTGGTGAAATGACCTAAGCTCTGAGAGATGTAAAAGCAAATTCCATGGTTTTGTTTTCATGATATAAGAGGTTGAGTTCTATCAGTTGAATGCCAACTTAATCTTGTGTAATGTGTTTACAAGTTCATTCTCTAGCACTCTCTATAAAACGTCATGCACAATATGAAAATATTATCTCTACTTCTAGATGTAGGATTTTGCGTCATTGAGATTGCTATAACTGTTTGTTGAACTTTTAAACAGTAACTAATCATGGAATTAATGCGGGGGATGTGAAGAAGCTTCAAGATGCGGGTATCTATACCTGTAATGGATTGATGATGCACACCAAAAAGGTAAGAAGGCCGTTTCTATTTCTGAAACTTGGCAGTGGCCATTGTTTGATTTTAAACTTTTTTCCATTTCTAGAACTTGACAGGAATCAAAGGTCTTTCTGAGGCAAAGGTTGATAAGATATGTGAAGCTGCAGAAAAGATAGTGGTAGGTATATTATGAGATGATGTTTGAAATTTAAAAAAAAATATGAATCATGCTGTGGCAGTCCATTTATGCACGTACTGAATTTTCTCATTTGCTATTCTTTTCAGAACTTTGGTTACATTACTGGGAGTGATGCTTTGCTTAAAGTAAGCCTTTTATTTCCTCTTAAATCCATAATAATTCACTGACCTAGAATCTTGCTGAAGTAAAACCTTGCAAATTACTTCTCATTATGATTAAACTGCACCTCAGTAGGACTGTATGATTTTTAAAGCTTAGTTCTGAGTTGACATTAAAAACACCCTTCGTTTTTTGTAGAGAAAGTCAATAGTTCGTGTTACTACTGGAAGTCAGGCTCTGGATGAACTTTTAGGAGGTAACACTTTATAATTATATATGATTTTGTACCAGATGTCATTCACATATAGTAATACACTACACTTGATATCGTTTTGAGGTCTTTTACCTTTTGAATTTGGTTAGGAGGGATAGAAACTTCTGCTATTACAGAAGCATTTGGGGAATTCAGGTTATTATTGTCTTTAAACTTGGAAATGTCCCTAAATTTGTGCTAAACAAGTACACTCATAATCATCTCTTTCAATGAGCATTTTGTTCAGATCTGGGAAGACACAACTTGCTCATACACTGTGCGTCTCTACTCAGGTTTGCTCTGGTCCACATGAATATTCTATGCCTTTGTTCCCATGATAAAATATTGATCCCAGAAGTGAACTCATGCATTTCATAATCCCATTACAGCTCCCTACTAGCATGAAAGGAGGAAATGGAAAGGTTGCTTATATCGACACAGAGGGAACTTTGTATCCTAGTTTACCTTATTCCCTTTCAGCATATAAAATAAGATGCCACATTTTGTATCTTCTGTTTCCTTAATGAAGTTGCACTTGTAGCCGGCCTGATCGTATTTTGCCAATTGCTGAAAGATTTGGAATGGATCCTGGAGCTGTTCTTGACAACGTAAAACCGCTTATTCTGCTTATGTCATAATTATCTAACCTATTTTGATATTAAATTCTTCTTATTCATTAACTCTCTATGCTATTTTTCCCACTACGCATCAAAGATCATATATGCCCGTGCATATACATACGAGCATCAGTATAACTTACTCCTTGGCCTGGCAGCAAAGATGGCTGAAGAGCCTTTTAGACTTCTGGTGATGTCCATCTTCAAATTATCATTAATGTTTATTAATTATGACTCTTTATTGTTTCCTTATATTTTTGTGATGAAAATGCAGATAGTTGACTCCGTGATCGCATTGTTCCGAGTGGATTTCACAGGAAGAGGTGAACTTGCAGATCGCCAGGTACTAAACATAGAAGACCTATCATGATCCACTAGCATTTATATCTGTTATGCTCTTCTCTTACGAGTTTCAGATTTATTTTGCTGTTGCGCTTTCAGCAAAAGTTGGCCCAGATGCTCTCCAGATTGATAAAAATTGCTGAGGAATTTAATGTTGCTGTTTACATGACCAACCAAGGTATAAAGCAATTTAGGCTAGCAAAATTTGACCATGCTTATAACTTAATTGAGACCGACAGCTAGAACATATTTGTATCTGAATTGGGTGAGTGCAGTGATTGCTGATCCAGGAGGAGGTGTGTTCATATCAGACCCAAAGAAGCCTGCAGGAGGTCACGTGCTTGCACATGCTGCAACCATTAGGCTAATGTTCAGGAAGGGTAAAGGAGAACAACGTGTTTGCAAGGTGTTTGATGCCCCTAATCTTCCAGAGAGCGAAGCTATATCCTTCTCCCTCCACTCAAATAATTTCTCTGTTTTATTTTCTCCTTGTGGCATGTTTGAATGTTTCTAAAAACATATGTTTTTTTAAAGAAAACCACTTTCTATATTTGGCTTTACTACCTTGGAAATTAAAGTAAATTTACTTTTAAAACTTTTACCTATATCTAGATATCCTGTTGTTTTTGCAAAAAAGGTTTCCTAGACTCGATATAATAAAAAATACGGAGTATATAATGAGTTGGAACAAGCGTATCAATAATACTTTATTAAGATTGAAGCTATCTCTTATTTTCCTCCCAATTTTTCATTCTTTTTTGTGTCCACATCACTCCCAGTTGTCCAAACGGACCCTATAACTTTCCTTGACAGGCAAATCACGTTTTTCAGATAACAGCAGGTGGAATTGCAGATGTGAAGGACTGATAACAATACCTGCAACAACTGAGACGGATGACCATACCACATAATTACATATCTTTATCTAATCCCTATTATTTCCTTGCTTTGTTTTATGTTTTATTCCCCCCAGTCATGTACTACCTACAGCTTTAGTAGCATAATGCTTAACGACTAAACAATCTCTCTCTAGTATTGGGGAGGGGATCCTGTAGAAGTCATAAAGGAAAGGAAAGGAAAGTTGTTTATTTTGTGGCATGCATTAGACGATAAGAGACTATGTAATTCACAATACTTATTAAAGGTCAGAAATGGAGTTCACATGAAGCGTCTTCCTACAGTTTTAGCATAAAACTCAGCTCAAGTTTACAGCAATTGGAGAAAGGCGAGAAACTAAAGGGGTATTTGGGGGATGAGCTTAGGCGAGCTTTGATTTAGTAATGCTCAGACCAGTTAGCAGCACTCCCAACTCTAGGAAGACCAGTACTCTCTTTCTTGGACTCTGAGTCAACTTTGAATGTGGCACCACACATCTCGCCTGAGCTGTCCACCCTCGGCACAGCTTTCAGCTCATGTAGCGGGTGCACATAGCTCCTTAAGCCTCCAGAAGAAGTGAAAAAGCATCCTGGTTATGGCAACAATAAATCACATGTTAGTATTCCATTCTAAATAACATAAACTAAAGTACCACAGTGTAAGAACCATATTCACAGTTAGGCTTTAAGAGTTAACAATTACAAGCAAACTGTAGAATTGCAATTTATTACGGACAGAATATATTAGACATCATATATTTAGCCTATTTCATTACTGGCATATCTTTATTCTTGGAATGTATTTTATTTCTTTCCTTTCCTAGTTTATTTGCTTGATTAGCAACGTATGCTACTGCTATATATGTAGGCCTTGTACTTCTCTTCACATATACGAAATAGACAAATACATTGCATTATTATATTCTTTTGTCTTCAGCCATTCCTTCATGGTATCAGAGCCTCCGGGCAGTTAACCATCGGCAGAAGACTTAGCCATGGCAGTAGATAATGAAGTGGCTGAGCCGGCAGGGAAGATAGATCACACGTCACCGTATTTCTTGGGTCCACAAGACCGACCAGGAGACTTCATCACACCGGTAAGGTTGACCGGTGAGAATTACGATGAGTGGTCCAACTCAATCCGTCTAGCACTCCGGGCAAGACGGAAATACGTATTTTTGGATGGGAGTATTCGTGAACCGAAGCCCCCCTGCACCAGTGATGATTGGACAACTTTACACTCAATGCTGATTTCGTGGATTCTTAACACCGTGGCTCCGGATTTGAAGCGCACCCTATCGAACTATGAAGATGCCTATGAATTGTGGACGGATCTCAAAGAAAGATTTTCAATGGTGGATGGCCCACGCATACACCAGGTCAAAACAGACCTGGCTCGCTGTGAACAATCGAAAGGGACGAGTGTGGGAACGTATTATGGAAAATTAAAAACTCTTTGGGATGAATTGACTAATTTCGAACCACCTATTACCTGCAAATGCGGCAAATGCACCTGTGACTTGAACAATCAGCTGGAGAAGCGGCGAGAATCTGAACGCCTTCATCAATTTCTCATGGGCCTGTACACCGAACACTTTGGACCAGTCCGCTCCCAGCTTTTGACGCAGATCCCTCTTCCATCCTTGAACCGCGCGTATCAGCAGGTTTCCCAGGAAGAGAGGGTTAGAGGGATGGGGCAGAGTCGCGAAGATAAAACAGACCTGGTGGGTTTTTCCGTTCGTACTGATGTGCGTGACAGAGCAAGGACCGGGAAATCAGATAAGGCAGGACTCGTTTGTGTCTATTGCAAAAACCCAGGTCATGACATCTCAAATTGCTTCGGAATTATTGGGTACCCGGAGTGGTGGGGCGATCGACCTCGTTTGGAGAATAAGGGAAGCGGAAGCGGACGTGGACGAGGAATTGCTGGACGCGGTGGACACAACGGTCGCGGTCGTGGCGGAATCCGCGCACACGCAGCTGCTGTAGATGGGGGACCTTCCTCGTCTTCTGTTCGCAAGGAAGATACGCACGAGGATTCTGGATCAATTGAACGGGCTGATATACTGGGCCTTCCGGGTTTCTCATCTGATCAGTGGAAAGCCCTTATGGCAGCATTTGGTAAACCAAACAATGATCGAATATCTGGTAAGTTTGAGGTTATGTCATGGATTATTGATACAGGAGCCTCACATCACGTAACTGGAAATGTTACCTGCTTATGTGATATAAAAGAAATTGATCCCTGTTCCGTGGGGCTTCCTGATGGGCAGAAAGTTCTGGCAACGAAAGAAGGATCTGTGCGATTGACGGAGACAATATATTTGACTAACGTGTTGTTTGTCCCTAAATTAAATTGCAGTCTTATTTCTGTATCTCAACTTACCGAGGATATTGACTGTTTTGTCCAATTTACTTCTAACATTTGTGCTATTCAGGACCGACACTCGAGGAGGCTGATTGGAGCGGGTAAGCGGAGGAATGGACTTTATTACTTTGAAGACTTCTCTCGTGTCCATGTTGTAGGAGTAAGCAAGAAGAATGACAGTATGGATACTTGGCATCAACGGTTGGGACATCCGTCAGAAACTGTGATGAAATGGTTGGATCCTGTGAGTGGCATTCAAAGTAGTATTTCTAATCCTTGTGAAATTTGTTTAAGAGCGAAACATGCAAGAGATATTTTTCCTACTAGTGTAAGCAAGACTACACGTATCTTTGAATTAGTGCATTGTGATGTGTGGGGACCATATAATACGGCTTCTTCTTGCGGAGCCAGAAGTTTTTTGACTATTGTTGACGATTTTTCTCGAGCTGTCTGGGTTTATCTTTTGGTTGATAAGACTGAGGTATTTTCTATGTTTATGAATTTTTGTGCAATGGTGGACCGCCAATTTTCTCAACGCATTAAGATGGTGCGTAGTGATAACGGGACTGAATTTAATTGTCTCAAAGATTTTTTTCGTACATCTGGTATTATTTTTCAAACCTCTTGTGTGGCCACCCCTCAACAAAATGGGCGGGTTGAGCGAAAACACCGTCATATTCTAAACGTTGCCCGTGCTCTCCGATTTCAAGCTCATCTCCCGATTCACTTTTGGGGGGAATGTGTTTTAACAGCAGCTCATCTTATCAATCTCACTCCATCAGCTGTCCTGAAGCACAAAACCCCATTTGAGATTTTATTTCAAAAACCTCCTGATTATAAAGAACTCCGGGTGTTTGGGTGTTTGTGCTTTGCCTATAATCTTCGCTCTAGCAAAGACAAGTTTATGAGTCGCAGTCGAAAATGTGTCTTTGTGGGTTATTCCTTCGGGAAGAAAGGATGGAAGGTCTATGACTTGGAAACTCACGAGTATTTTACTTCTCGTGATGTTAAATTTTTTGAGGATCAATTTCCTTTTGCCACACCATTAGCTGACGACCTGGAGGAATCTTCACCTATGCCTATTATAGATACCTGGGAATATCCATCATCTACTCCTCCGCCTACTTCATCCTCGGAGGTTGCACTCCCACCTACATCTACACAAGAAGCGTCCGATATGGATCCCTCTTTGGATTCTTTGCCACCAGATCTTGGACGAGGAAAGCGGCTCAAGACGCCTTCAGTGCGTCTCAAAGATTACGAGACACATACAATAATCCATGAAAGTCCATTCCTCGCTCCGCCTGTCTCCTCTCGCCCCTCAGGTACCCCGTTTCCTATAGCTCATTATGTTAGTTGTAATAAATTTTCCCCTCGTTATCAAAAATTCTTGTCAGCTCTTTCAGTTCAGACAGAACCGACTTCTTTTCAAGAAGCAGTTAAAGATGCAGGATGGCGAGAAGCTATGCGAGCAGAAATTCGCGCTCTTGAAGAAAATCATACGTGGACCATGCAGCCTCTTCCTTCTGGAAAACGAGCTTTAGGTTGTCGTTGGGTGTATAAAATAAAATATCATGCTGATGGCAGTATTGAACGACTTAAGGCTCGGTTAGTTATTTTTGGCAATCGCCAAGTTGAGGGACTTGATTACAACGAAACATTTGCTCCCGTTGCAAAAATGGTCACTGTTCGAGCATTCTTGGCTGTAGCAGCATCTAAGAATTGGGAACTTCATCAAATGGATGTTCACAATGCCTTTTTGCACGGTGACCTAGATGAAGAGGTATATATGCAAGTACCTCAGGGTTATGCTGCGTCTGATCCCTCTCTCGTCTGCCGGCTTCATAAATCTCTGTATGGTTTGAAACAAGCACCACGTTGTTGGTTTGCTAAATTGGTTGGAGCCCTTAAGAGATATGGCTTTCTGCAGTCTTATGCAGATTATTCCTTGTTTACTCGGACTAAGGGTTCTATTCAATTGAATGTTCTGGTCTATGTGGACGATTTGATCATCTCAGGAAACGATCATGAGGCTATTCTTCATTTTAAATCTTATCTCAGTGATTGCTTTCATATGAAGGATCTGGGCACACTCCGCTACTTTCTTGGTATTGAGGTTGCTAGGAACCCCTCCGGCTTATTCCTTACCCAACGCAAATACACCTTGGATATATTATCCGAAACCGGACTTTTGGGCAGTAAACCAGCCAGTTTTCCCATTGAACAAAATCATTCTCTTGCTACCGCTTCAGGCCCTCCTCTTGCAGATCCTGAACCTTATCGACGCCTTCTTGGCCGACTTATTTATCTTGCGGTGACTCGTCCGGACCTGACTTACTCTGTTCATGTTCTTTCTCAATTCATGCAGGCACCTGGCCAAGCTCATTGGGATGCGGCCCTTCGTGTTGTGCGCTATTTAAAGGGTTCTCCCGGACAGGGTATTCTTTTGCGTTCTGACAGTGATCTCTCGCTTACAGGATGGTGTGACTCCGATTGGGCGGCCTGTCCTCTTACCCGCCGCTCTTTGTCTGGTTGGCTGGTTTTTCTTGGTCACTCTCCCGTTTCCTGGAAAACTAAGAAACAATCCACCGTCTCTCGTTCTTCTGCAGAATCTGAATACCGGGCTATGGCTGCCGCTACGTGTGAACTCAAATGGCTCAAAGCTCTTCTTCTCAGTCTTGGTGTTAATCATACCAAGGCAATTCCACTTTTTTGTGACAGTCAATCCGCTTTACATATTGCTCGTAATCCGGTGTTTCATGAACGCACTAAACATATTGAGGTTGATTGCCATTTTGTTCGAGACGCTATCAAGGAGAACCTTATTGCCCCGAGTTATGTTCCTACCACTGTTCAACTTGCTGATATTTTCACCAAGGCTCTTGGGAAGACACAGTTTCAATTTCTTCTTCGCAAGTTGGGCATCTTGAATCCTCATGCTCCAACTTGAGGGGGGGTATTACGGACAGAATATATTAGACATCATATATTTAGCCTATTTCATTACTGGCATATCTTTATTCTTGGAATGTATTTTATTTCTTTCCTTTCCTAGTTTATTTGCTTGATTAGCAACGTATGCTACTGCTATATATGTAGGCCTTGTACTTCTCTTCACATATACGAAATAGACAAATACATTGCATTATTATATTCTTTTGTCTTCAGCCATTCCTTCACAATTGCAAATTAATGAGTCATAAATAACATGTTTGAGTGCCATTTCCATAACGATAATCAGTCCAGTCACCATCCTCCTCTTCACTGACTTACTTTTGTATCATGAAATTCAGTGAAAACGGGGTAAATTTTTGTAAAATTAGGTCATCAATACTAATAATTAATGCAGCAAACAAATATAGTAATGAAGATGCATTGAGATAGCTGTGAGCCTGTGATAGACACGTCTCATTACAATATTTATATTGTGACACAAACATAGAGGTCATGTACCATGAAGATCACCAGATCATTCAGTCCCATGAAGCTATTAAGTATGCACATAGCCTTTACGCTAAGGGTTTGTTTTGGATGGAAAAGCTTTTGGATGATTTAGTCTATTTCTTGATAAATAGCAATGCATCTACAGACATGGTTATTGAAATGTTATACAAGCATATATGATGTTAATCTATCAAATTTATGTATTTATAAAATCACAAATACAGAGCACATACATCAGATACAAAACCATCCCTTCAAAACCATCCCCTCCAAATCATTCCATCCAAACAGACCTTAAGGGTCCTCAGATGATTTAGTAATAATTCATTAGAATACCAAATATGTGTCAAGATATAGCCTAGGCCATCCAAATACCTGCCCTCCAACACCCCACAATCCCCACATCCAAACAGATCTTCAGGTCCACAGATCAGCAGGCATTTAGGTGTAAACTAATCAGTAGTAAATGAATAAAATAGGTGACCAACTAGAATGATGTGAAAGCACAGTGACTAAGAAATATACCCTTTGGAAATGGTGCAAAAGATTTCCCACACCCTTGCTTCACAAGGTCAGCATCATCAGAGAGAACCAGGTCACCTTCAGAATCAGTTCCCCAAAAGAATGGCACACTTCCATCCTCATCCTGAAACAACATAGATACTACCCAATAAGTGGATTTCAAATTTTCAAAAGCAATTGCCGCAAATAAAAATATGAAAAAAATATTACAGATTAACTGATATTGTAAAAATATAACAAGAAAAGGTGAAAAACAAAAACTGAAGAACACGTACAGCTGCTATGAAGGTAGCCTTTGAAGAGCTGTCATAGAGAACGAAAGAAAATTTTCCATGAAAATCCTTCACAACTTGATCAGCAGGGTAAGGACCCCTATCTCTCAAAGTCCGATACGCCTCGATCACAATGATCACCTCGTTTGAAGTCTTGTTCAGCCCATATTGCTGTTTCAGATGAGCCACATTCTCAATATGTCCTTGGAACAGACAGAACAACCCATCCACAGCTGCAAATAACCTGCCAGAAAACACCGTAAGCTCATCGGAAAATCAAGATTCAAGATCTGCAACGGCTAAGAAAGTCAAGATTCATCCACGATCAGATCACCAGAGATTGTGGAAATAATGGGTATTGGAGAAACGGACCTGGGGAGGAGTGGGTTATGACGGCCGGAAGAATACGCCATGACGCCGGAGTCGCCGAGGTTGATCGTGACGGGGCCGGAGCTCGTGGCCGCGAATTTGCTGGCCAGGAAACCGTCCTTCAGGGCGGAGGTGGGCGCCGAGGGTCCGTCGCGGGGGCTCTGGAGGGCCTCCGGGCACTTCGCCACCGACTTGCTGAACACTGCTAACATCTTCTTCGACTGATCTGTACGTTTCTTCGGATAAAACTTTTCCTTGCAGAAATGGATAAAGAGCAGTGATGAATGTAAGGAGGGGAGGACGAGGCAATCACAATTTATATCCTCCGAAACAAAAGATTAGAGTAATGAAATCAGTTTTCCTTTCCAGAAATGCCCTTCCCGAGTCGTAATTAATTTAACTGGAAGTTAACTATAAAAGGGATTTCCTAAACAACGCACACGCGTGTGCAATTTAGAGCCCGTTTGGAGAACTCTGTTTTCGGCTTATCAGGCTTATCAGCCAGCTTTTTCACCAAACACGTAACTTTTACTTTCGCGCGCTGAATTGTGAAATAAGCCGAAAAAGTAAGGTTGGAGTTACTTTTCTGGCTGTATTGGCTGAAGTTACTGTAGAGGACCATTTTAACTATTTTTACATATAATTTTTTCTTTAATTTATTAATAAAATATATTTTTAAAATATTTTTTTCTTAAATCAGCAGAATCAGCCAAAACAGCCACTCCAGCCAGAATATCATAAATTTCAGCAGAATCAGCCAAAACAGCCGATTTTGGTGCTCCCAAACGGGGCTCTTAGAGATTTTAGTAAAATTCCCAATTGAAAACAGATTGAGTAAATTTAAATACGGAATAGTAAAAAAAAATGAATCAGTAAATGTCAGATTTTATTACAGCAAATCTAACAGATTCGTTGATGTGTTAGTTAATAGTTATCCTCAGAAATTGAACGTAACCGTTTAAAATTTAACAACCATAACAAATAACAATGGGGCTTACTAATTGCGGACCACACTTAAAATTAATGTGTCATGTTATTATTATGATTATTATATTATTATTATACTGTTTACGAAGTATATTGCCATTTCAAAAAATTATACTCCGTACATACTATTATGGTTGATCCACAATTAAAGACTCCGTTTGATTTATGGGCTTCTAGGGAGATGTTTGACCATAAATAGATATAAATATATATTTACTTATATAATATATAATAAATTGACAATTAAATGATTTGCATTATAATGAAGCACCTGTAATTATTTTTGTGTGGTAACTGGTAAAATATTATTAACTTTGAGCAATTAACGGTCAAAGTTTAAGAAATTTGAGTGAAACATCAAAATTGGACTAGACTCTAGAGGAACTAGCGACATGGGGTAGTGTATATTAATATTAGAGATATTACCCGAAATAGGACTAAAAAAGTTTGAAAATTCCAAAATAGAACTTCCATGTTTTTATTCCCAAAATAGGACTAATTACTGTCATGTTTTGGCAGTACCAGACTTCAAACATGGCAGTATTTTCCAAACTTGACAGTAATTACTCCTATTTTGGGAATAAAAAACATGGCAATCCTATTTTGGAATTTTCAAACTGTTTTAGTACTATTTCGGGAACTTTCCCTTAATATTACGGAGTAATATTAATGCATGACGTTGGTTATTAAATTGGGTTTAGATTTATATACTCTGTATTTATCTAAGGAGTTGTTAATTTGGTCTTGTTGGGATATTGGGTCCACGCCCAATACCCCCGACCCAAAGTATGGGGAATCCAGGAGGAAACATAAGGCCCAGAGCCTAAACACCCCGATCGGCATTCGACACAGTTCTCTTACTTGGAGTATTTCAGGAAAACACTGACACCTAAACACCCATGGCGGGGTTCCGCATACCGAACGCTCTACCCGAACGGGTAGTCAGCAAGTGGAAGCCGCATTTAATGCTAGAGAATGGCAGCAGCAAGTGGAGGTAAGGGCGCATCGTGGCAGAGGTCACAACCTACTGGATTCAGCCACGTGTCCAGCTTACCCATCCCCATTTTAGTATAAATACCTGCATTAACAACATTGTAAAGGGTTAGCATTTTAATACTCAGAGCTTAGCAAATAGAATTATCTCTCTTATTCTTGTATTCTTGTACTCACCTACCGTTCGGGTAGTCCAGTGTAATAGCAGCATTACTGAATACAAGTTAGCTCCTGAGTTGAGTAATATTTCACTGTTTTATATTTTATACACTTTCCAGACCAACCCAACGTCCTTAAAATATCCAAAGCTTGTGTTGGGCTTTCGGATCTTCGGGATTAAACCTCAACAGGTCTTTTGAATTGTTTCATGTGATTTTTTCATTTGGATTGAATTTTTAACCGTTGATCTAGACATGTTCTGTATGAATCTCATCCGGTTTAAGCTCGACAAAGTAAACGAAATGAGTATTTTACCTATTTTGTACTAATCTCATCCGGTTTAAGCCGAACGAAGTTTGCGAAATGAATATTTTAACCTATGTCGCATTATTTAAGTTTGATCTATTTGATTCTAAATATTTCTAATCAAGTAAGGCTCACATAAACTCAAAGAAGAAACATTTTACATTTTTACTGCACAAAAGAATATTATTATTCGTTCATAAGTTATTGAGTTTGAGTTTTAGTACATTTTTGGGAAAAGGGGCAAATAAGCCCTCGAACTAATCAAAAAAGTGCAAATAAGCCCTTTTGTAGGAGGTTCCGTCCGGCCATTGTCATTTGGGGAGGTTCCCGGTGGAATTTTTTGATAAAATTTTTTGAGCATCTTATTCATTAAGTCTAGTTTAGTCATACCGAATTTCAGCTAAAAATTCAATCGGGAAGACAGTCAAATGAATTTTTGAAGATAACTGCGCAGTTAAACAACGCGGTATATTTCCAAAAATCATTTGAGTGCCTTCCCGGTTGAATTTTTAACTGAAATTCGGTATGGCTAAACTAGACTTAATGAAGAAGATGTTCGAAAAAATTTATCAAAAAATTCCACCGAAAACCTCCCTAAATGACGATAATCGGACAAAACCGCCTATAAAAGGGCTTATTTGCACTTTTTTTATTAGTTCGAGGGCTTATTTGCCCCTTTTCTCTACATTTTATACCATTTCCACCCGACAATTGTTGATGCATAACTGCATAAGAAATTGCCAACCATTTAAATAAAAGTAAAGTTAAATGATAAGCACTATATATACTTGAAAATGTATGTATGGATTTAATATATGTAATATACAAATACGTAATACTCCGTATTATGAAGCATGTTTAGTTGATAATTACTCCCTCCGTCCCATTGTTCCCGATTTCCTTTTTGGGCCGTCCCAAAAAATTGTTCCACTTTTCCCTTTTGGAAAGTTTTTCGTGACTACAATACATTTATCTTTTTCTTACTCAAACACAACCATACATTTCTACTTTATTCCCATTTTCTTAAACTCCGTTCCAAGTCAATGCGAGAACAATTTTCCGGGACTTTTTTTCCGGGAAAAGAAGTTATGACAAAAGAAGTATTGATTTTGTTGCATTGAAATAGATGCTTCTTTTCAGAATTCAATTTGTTTAATTTCTTGAGTTGATGTATTTTGGGTTTATAACTTTGACATTTTAAACTACTTTTCGTGTAAGTATAATTTTGCATAAAAAACCAACGAAAAAATAACACGGAAATGGAAAAACATCACTATCATTTTTGTTCCCACTTACTTTGCACATTTTTGAGTTTTAATTAACAGAAAGTGCGATGAGTTGAAATAAAGGATTTTTTATTTTTTAGATTAAAAAATGAAATAAGTTCCATTGGACTTTATAATACGGAGCATAATTTACAGTGGGATTATTAGTCACACTCTTCACCAACCAAAGGGCAGAGTAGTGAGAAATTAAAAATCCGTACGATGATAAGATTGATTGCAGCTGAAATTAAGGCGTGACGTGGCCACGAAAGTGAAGTTTTCGTATCCAAAACGACAAAATTTTCGGCGTGACGCGTCACATGCCCATGTCAAGTAGGGCCAACTAACCAGGCCACCGCCACTCTAATCCATCTTTCGGCCCATGGTAATGCTATAGTTAGGGGTGTGCACCGGTCCAAAACCGGACCGGACCGGACCGGAACCGGTTAGGACCGGAACCGGAATCATCATTTTCTATGGACCGAAGACCGGACCTAAATCTAACCGGTCCGGACCGGTCCGGACCTGAATTTTCCGGTCCGGTCCGGGTTTGACCCTAATTGACCCGGTTTTTAAAAAAGACATACGGAGTATTATCTTAGAGTGTTCTTTGCTGACCCCAAATTTTTTAGGAATAAGACTTGGATGTTGTTGTTGTTTCAAACTATAATTTTATATGCGGATATGCTAAATAGACTAAATAATTGTTTAGCTCATTTATTAATTTTGGAATATAGTCATCAAAACTATTCAATCGTAACAATTAGTATCCCACAATAATTAAAACTACAATCTTTTGTGTATTAAATTGGCAAAATTTATTGTGGGGTAATAAAAACTAAATTACGTCCAAAAATATACTACATATAAAATACATACACACCTGCAAATAAAGAAACAAATAAAAAGCGATTTGGAAAAATCAAACAAATATAAAGTACGATCAATAAAAAACTTAGGACATGCTACATAAAAAAATTATAAACAACTTAGGAAATAATTAGACACCAAATACACACTCCGTATATATTCGTTTATATAACAAAAGGCAAAAATAAGCCATAAACATAGTAGTAAGCCAAATAGAAATTGACTAATGATTCAAAACGAAGTATATATTTTATGGAACAATAGGTTACCGGTCTATTCCGGTCCGGACCTGTTTTTTCCGGGTTTGACCCGGACCGGACCGGAAACCCGGAATCTTGAAAAACTAAGGACCGAAACCCGGACCGGTAAATACCGGTCCGGTCCGGACCGGGTCATTCCGGTCCGGTTCAGGTCTAAAATACGGTCCGACCCGGTTAATGCACAGCCCTAGCTATAGTACTACGTAATTCATTTTTGTAAAAAAAGATGACACCCCATCTCTCAGGCCCCTCAACACCGACCAGACGGCACGATGGGAGGATATAAATTGGACTATAATCACAATCTGACAGATAGAGAGTGGAGCTCTGTCCCCGGTACTTGCAGAAGGCCTATGCATTTTCCAGCATAGTAACCCCTCATCGCAGTTGCCGGGATTCGAACCCGAGACCTAACCCTTGTAGCACTCCCTCGCTACCAGCAGGGCCGGCCCTGGACAAGGGCAGGCCGGGCTTGTGCCCCGGGCCCAACATTTACAGGGGCCCATAATTATATATAAATGGATAAATGTAGAGAGGACAAT